AGGCCCCGGGCTCTGTCAGTGGCGTCCGCCGATTGCTGGAGCGGCGGGTTTGGCGTGTTACGCGGTGGCGGCCGAGGCTGTCCCGGGGTGGACTCCGGGGCCAGGCTGCACCCACTTCAGGCAGGTAAAGCGCTCAGCCTGAGGTCCCTGGCGGGGCCTTGGCGGAGCTTTGCCCCCGAGCTGTTCCCTCTGCCGCATGCCCAGTGGCCTAGGCGCTCTGCGGAGGCGGCGGCGGCTCCTCAGCCTCCCGCGGGAGTGTGCGCCGATCCCGGCTGGCCAGCTCAGGAGCAGGGGTGGCTGTGGGGGTGCCGAGACCCCGTCGTGCGGCCTCCCCGCCACCCCGGGGCGGAGGTCATCCCTCCAGCCGCGCCTGCGGTGACTGGCTTGAAGCCTCCGCTCTTTGGCCCATCTTTTCGGGAGGATAAAGATACAGAAGGGGCCAAAGTGGCAGATGCCGAGGTGAACTCTGGGCGCTGACTGTCCTGCTCGGCTTTCTCGGCTGGTGTTGGGAAGATCGGCGGGGACTGCGGACTGGCCGGGTCCAGCCTCGGCGTATGGGTGTGGGTGGTGTGCCACTTGGCTTTTGCACCTTTCATCCTTATGCAGGAGGAGATGAGGTGGAGGGGTGGGGAGGAAGGGTGAAGGTGCGTAGGTGTCCCGGGCGTGGCAGACGGAGGTGGAGAGCCTTGCATACCTCAGTCCGTTTCGGGTCTTCCCACGCCGCGCCTGTCCGGCTGGGATTGAGAACGCGCCTGGCGGGGCTGGTGAAGTGAGCTTTGCTGACGGTGGGTTGCTCTCACGGGACCCAGCGGGACTGGGACTGCACCCAGTTTTCCCTGTTCTGCTTTCCTCCTCGTAGCTTCTGGTTTATGGTGGTTACTAAAATAGTGGCCTGGGTGTCACGCTGGAATGATCCCATTCCGTAGCCTTCTGGTGGAAGTGAGCGAAGCTTGGCCCTTGACCTCAGTTTTCTATTGAGGACCAAGATTTTGTACACTTTGTCTTACACAGGAGTGGCGCATTGATAGACTTTTTCAAGATCTCTGACGTGCTGATGAAAGCAAATCTCTAATTCTGTTTCTGTGTCGTGTCTGTCTTTACTAAAATAAGCAAAGACGTTAAGGTTTTCATAAATGTATGGTTCTCTGGAAAATCAGTTATTTTTTGATAGTGTTTAGTGAGAATGAAAATTGACTTGCCATGCAAGCAAGCACTAAATCGTCATATATTATATGAAGTGCTTTTAGAGGTGTACTGCTTTTCATTTATTTTAATTTTGGACAGTTGGTTTTGGAATATCTCAGAATGCTCAGTACAATTAGAACACTTGAACGAGTTCTAAAACGAATCAGTCTTAAGCATAAATTGTATAATCCTCACAAGTATGTTCTGGAGGTAATTTGATGGTGATTAAATAGTTTATGCTTAAGTTTGAAGCATGATTAATTAGGGATAAAAGTAAACTTCCACTGCTTTTTTCTGAAAGACCTGCTGGGTTATTTTCATGGAAAAGTACGCAGAATATTTTGCTTTTTAAATTAGAGAAAATGAGGGCAATGGAATTTTAGTAAAAATATGAACTGTAGTTTTATTTGCAATTTAAAAAATATTAAGTTGGTGCTTGTAAGACACTCAAAAGGTGCTTAATGTAAGTACTACATGTATTTTCTCATAAGAGTAATAAGAATTGTTATGATTTATTAAGCACTTTGTGTTGGATACTGTGCCAAATGCTACATAATATCATTTAATCAGATGCCAGTGCTACAATGTATAGATGTTGTCACCACTTTATAAATGGTAACTGAGTCTCAAAGAGTTGAAGTGTTTTGCGTAAGATCCCACAACCCCTATGTGATTGAGCTGTATTTTAAATCCAGGCCTATTTCATTTCATTGTTTTCATGGTACCTGAAATGAATGGAAGATTTAAGAAAAACATTTCTCAAAAATTTAAATTCTGATACTTAAAGCTGAGTGAGACTAGCAGTTAGAAAGCATTTAAATAGAATGATGGATGTTATAATTGCTCTTTGAAAAACACAATGAAATGCACACCTCTTAAGGTCATGCCAGATCTCCTTGTGATATTAGAGTAGAAGAGACCGTACACGTCCATGGAAGAGTTCCTGGGGACAACCCATTTAAGACTGAGCCATCTGTCCACTCAAGTATAGGCAAATTGATTTATGCTTCTGAGGGAAGTACTTGGGTTATTTGACTCCCATGGGTTTTTTATGTAGAAATATCTGAAAGGAAGCAGAAATTATGGGAAATCAACAATGAGCATAAAAGTGAAAAGTTGTATTAGGCACTGGTATAATAGTTCAGAATAGGTTATGTCATGTAAGCCTCTCATAATTTCAGAAGGTCCTTGTTTATCTATCCTTTGCAGAATGGGAAATTGAGTAACAGAGAGGTAAAAAATTTATTTGCCCAAGCTTTTATAGGACACAAGAATTGGGTTTAAGATGCTTGGGTGATAGGAGAGAACCATTAGTTGAAAGTAAAAGTATGACATTTAAACTAAAGAGAAATGTTTAATTATTTAGTTTTGTTATATTTTCATGTCTGTTGGAAAGTGCCACTCCTTACATGTGCATTATAGTAAATCAGCTTTTAGCAAATACCTGAATTTCTTAGAAAACTTGCTGGAACAGTAATGGTTGACTGTTTCTTTGGTTATGAATAGGAAAGCATGGATATGGCATGTTGACTGTCAACTCAGTTTTATAAGCAAAAATTTAAAAGCACAAACACTTGCTTTTGGGATCTTAGAGACTAAGCCCTGATTGTTTCATTAGCTCCAAAACAATCTTCTAAGCAAATAATTGGTGTCAAAGTTGGTATTAATTGTGCTATTATGCATGCATTTCATATTGTGCTTATTTTAAGAGTGTCAAGTGGTAAACAAATAAAGGCTACACTTGTAGACTTCTAGTATTTGTTCTGCCTGTTTCTGGAGCTGCATGATTTTGGCAGTCACTTAGCTTTTCCTTAATGGAGATTTAAACATTGACATTTAATCAAATAAAGGAATGGAAGTACATGATGCATCTGTGCTTAACACTGTCTTGTGTTGATAACTCCCTTTCCGCTTAGGTAGTTCTGTTTAACAACACTCTGAGAATGTCAGAGGAACTTTCATATATTGGTATATAGTTCCAGTCTAATCTATCTGATTTTTGTATTACTTAAAATAGCTGATTGCTTTTGAGAAAGAATGCCTACCTTTGCTACCTTATGTCTTTTTTAGCACTTGAGCAAATTACTTCTCTCCCTCAGATGACTTGTTAGTGATGTGGGGGGAAAGGAATACCTAAATGATAAACATTGTGGAAAGCATTTGTTTCAGGTTCATCTAGAGATGAGACCTTAAATAGTTGACATTGGTTTTGTTACTAATTTCATATATTGAAATTTTGGCCTGGTGTTTGATGGCTACAGACTTAATTTGGAAGCATATAGTTTTGTTACAGACAAAAGTGCTTGGTTGAATACAAAACACTATGCTAGATAAAACCATACACTAGTTCCAGAATAATGTGGTGATGTATACTTTGAGATTATCAGGTTGAGTGGTTCTTGTATATTGCAGGCCTCTAACCTTTCTTTGTGATTATTGTTAGCATCTTATGAAGGTTAAGGTTAATTTGATGTTTTAACTCATGGAAATTTATAAATTTTTTTCTTTAAAGTTCCTGGATTTCCTAAAACTACATTTCATAAATTTAAACACTGAGCTAATACTTAAGAGTTAATTGTATTAGCTTATAATTTAAATTGTCTTGTGGCATTTATTATCCTGGTTAGCTTTATAGGTGTTAAAATTCACTTTGGAAGTAAGAGTGCTTTGCGGTTGGGTACTCTTACATTTCTGAAGAAGAAACTCCAAGATGAGTATGCCTTGTACTGATTCCTCTACATTGCTGCAGGTGGATGTTCTTACTGGGCACTGGTATTACTTTGTAATTTACATTTATGATTACAAATGTGAACAGTATGGCCTAGATAATTTTTGATTGTTTTTGGAGATGAATTAGTTCCACACAGCAAGTATAAGCTGTAATTTGGTAAAAATATGTTACTTTGAAGGTAAACTTTTAATATTTCAGCTTAGAGATAATAGTAGTTTATATAGTTTTTGAATATAAACTTATTTAGAATATTTATTACACAATATTGGAGAGTCATAGAAGACCACCAGATGATAACACAGCTAGGTGACATGAAGATCAAATAGCCAGAGAGACTTAGACAAAATATCAGAAATGTTTATCTAAGAGTTGGACTGTAGTGTTTAATAATAGAGACCAGCAGTCAGAAGATAAAAGGTCTTTATAAAATTTGTGTTTCTTCTGAGCAGTTGGAAAAATCGTTGTTTACTTAGCTTTTTTTTTTTAAAAAGATTTATTTGTTTATTGGAAAGTCAGATATACAGAGAGGAGGAGAGACAGAGAGGAAGATCTTCCTTCCGATAATTCACTCCCCAAGTGAGCACATCAGCCGATGCTATGCTGATCTGAAGCCAGGATCCAGGAACTTCTTCCGGATATCCCACATGGGTGCAGGGTCCCAAGGCTTTGGGCTGTCCTCGACTGCTTTCCCAGGTCACAAGCAGGGAGCTGGATGGGAGTGGAGCTGCCAGAATTGGAACCAGTGCCCATATGGGATCCACTGAGTTCCCAGACACACAATAGGAACATTAGCAGGGAGATGGAGCAGAAGTGGAGCAGCTGGGAGTTGGTGCTCACTATATATACCACAGTGGAGGCCCCTCACTTAGATTTTGTTTTGTTTTCAACTTAAGATATTAAAGGCTATCTTGTAAGAATTTTTTAAAAAGGTGGAATCCATCAAAATGATTTAATTCAAGTTCTACATAGAGTCTAAATAAATCAATGTTTTATAGTATGTTTAGGTAATACTGCAACATCTCAATTTTGTCATTTGTGTTGTGTTTTTAACTTAACATTTTAAAATACTTGTTCTATTTCTAGCTGTGACTTCCTTTGGATGGTTGGTGACATTTGTCATTGTGCCCAGTTTCTATGAGTAAAAGATGGGTGGATTATTTTCTCGATGGAGGGTAAGTTATTCTTGACAACTTGCTAGCTCTTAAGTGTAGTTATGTAAGGATGTTACACAACGGTATCTCCAACGGTTTGCTCTGTGCTGTTGCCTTTAGTAGTAGTTTGATATTATCCTTAACTCCAATTAATTTTTTTTCTTTCTGAATTGCTTTCCTATTTTGATTTTAGAAGTTTTACTTTTTGTATAGACATCTATTGTCTTTAACAAAGCTGTTTGACTTTGACTTAGAACTTAATTGTATTTCTGTATTCATGTGTTTTTGTCCAAATGTTTTCTTGTTTTCATCTCCTTGTCTTGATTTCAAACTGATTTGAAACATAGTGGAAATTAAATATTCTGTAGCAGACTTAAAATTTCCAAGGGATTTATTTGTTTGAAAGTCAGTGTTACAGATTGGGAGGGAGAGACACAGATAAAAAGCTTCCAGCTGCTGTTTACTTCCCAAAGGCCACACCAGTGGAGCCTGGGAGAGACAGGAAGCCAGGAACCTGGAACTCCATCCAGGTCTGCCATATGGGGTTGGGAGTCCAAGTGCTTGGACCGTTTTCTAGTGCCTTTCCAGGCACGTTAGTTAGCAAGGAGCTGGATCAGAAGTGGGACAGCCATGACTTAAGAGTTGTGCTCTCACGGGATTCTGGTGTTGTAGGCAGTGATTTAGCACCCTGTTCTGCACACTGGCCTCGGCACATAGAATTTTTAAAGACTTTTTTCTTAACTTAATGCTTATCACAAATATTTACTGAAGTCACGCTAGAGTTTTAGGAATTGGAGGTTAGCTAAAGTTAGTAGTGCAGTTTGGTTGTATTGGGTAAGTGTTAAGAAGAAGTATTTCAGATTTGGAGCTCTAAAATATAAATGTAGGAGGAGATGATATAATCTAGGACAAATTGCCTATTTTTTGATTCCTTGTATTATAATAGAGTCGAGCAATACTTGGCACATAATAGGATAGCATTGTTCTGAACTGCCATTTTACTGATTCTGCCTTCCTTTTTCTTCCTTTATTTTTTAAATTGGTAGAAGAAATTACATGTATTGACATGTATTTGTTTTAAGAATGGTTAAATCTAGCCAATTGAGTAATGTATTATCTAACATAGTTATCAGTTTTGTAGTAAGAACACTTAACAAGTACTTAGCATTTTCAAGAATATATCATCATTAGATAAAGTCAGTGTGGTGTGTAATAGATATTTTGAATTTAATTCTCCCATCTTAATAGTAATTTCATGTTCTTCAGTAACCCTCTTCCCCAAATCTATCAGCCTATGATAGCCGCCATTCTACTCTGGTTCTATGAGATGGACTTTTAGATTTTACATGAGTGAGGAGACTCCCTTTGTGGAAACCTTAGGCTTCCTTTTTCTTTCTTACAGATGAATCATATGAAATTGCCAATGTCTAAATGCTTATGAAAATGGCAGTTTCATACAGTTCAGCCTGAAATTAACAACTCTTATGGAAACTAAAAAGAATTCATATTCATTACTCTGATTGTTGAGTATGTAATTGGTAAATATCTTTCTAAGTATTATATTTGCCATTTTTGCTGGTTTTTATTCTAGATGATATAAAAAAAGTGTCAAACTCTGCTATAATACAGTATTCTGAGATGCCCTTTAATTGATCTTTCAAAAAGATACTTAGGAATTCAGAATGAAAGTAACCTGTTGATTTTGACTTCTAGAGTCGAAAATGAACTTTTGGTAAATAACACATCAGATTATCTTTAGTCTGTTTTTTTAAAATATAAATTCTTTTAATTAATCATGCCCTAAGAACATTTTTCTTGGAGGAAAATGGTTTCTCTATATGAAAGTATGCTCCGTTGAGGTTTAGAATGGGAAGATTTGAACTGCCAGAGTTAAAAGTCTTTCTGGGGCTAAAGAAGTTAAGTAGGGAAATGTTTATTTTTTAAATCTTACATAGTTCTATTTGTAATTATAATTTTTATTTAAGTCTGATTACAAAAAGGAATATATGCTGTGAAATGTTTGTAAAAAACTCAACTTTTGATAATAATGTTTTTTATGACTATGTAAGTCAGAATGTTTCTTCATTTATAGCCATAAGTTTTAATGGTGTCTCATTTTAATTTCCATAACAGACAAAACCTTCAACTGTGGAAGTTCTAGAAAATATAGATAAGGTATGTTCTTTATCAGTGAGGTATTCATTTTAATTCATTTTAGGTATGAAGTAGCTATCATTTTAGTCTGAATTATTATGGAGAATAGATATGGGAATTTAGAGGTGATATGGAGTAAACTTGAGAACTTTAATGTTACATGATCTCAAAAAAAATCCCGTATGGTGACTTAAGTTTCTGTTAAGTAATAGAGTCTGTTGGAATTAAATTATACCCACAATGTGAAATCAGTGTTATAAAATGATTATAAGATGATATACAATGGTTTTTAAAGGTCTACAAAACTTAAAAAAGCTTTTGATATTATCTGCCATCAAGAGTAGTTATTCTTTAGGAATAAAAGTGATGAATAGACTTGATGATATTATGGGCAACTTTAAATTTTTTTTTTTTAATAATATATTTTTTTTTATTGGAAAGTCAGATCTACAGAGAGAAGGAGAGACAATGAGAAAGATCTTCCATCCTCTGGGTCACTCCCTGAGTGGCCACAACAGCCTGATCTGAGCCAGTATGAAGCTAGGATAAGGATCCTCCTCTAGGTCCTCCATGTAGATACAGGATCTCGGGTGGGCATCTTCTACTGCCTTCCCAGGATACAAGCAGGGAGCAGGATGGGAAGTGGGGCAGCTGGGACATGAAACACTGCCCACATGGGATCCTGGGCGTCGAGTTGAGGACTTTAGTCTCCTCCCCTCTTACCCTTTTTAAGGTTAAGATTTTTTTTTTAAAGGTCTATTTTTATTACAAAGTCAGATATACAGAGAGGAGGAGGAGAGACGGAGAGGAAGATCTTCCATCTGATGATGCACTCCCCAAGTGAGCGCAATGACCGGTATTGTACCAATCCGAAGCCGGAAACCAGGAACCTCTTCCTGCTCTCCCACTTGCTTCGGAAACCAGGAACCTCTTCCTGCTCTCCCACTCGGGTGCAGGGTCCCAAAGCATTGGGCTGTCTTCGACTGCTTTCCCAGGCCACAAACAGGGAGCTGGATGGGAAGAGGAGCTGCCGGGACTAGAACCGGCACCCATATGGGATCCCGGCGTTCAAGGCGAGGACTTTAGCTGCCAGGCTCAAGATTAAGTTTTAAGGCAGAGTTGAAGAGGGAGAAGAAGAGGATGAGAGAGAGAGACAGACAGACATATTTCATCTGTGGTCTTCTAAAGAGGCCTCAATGGCTGGGACATGGGCCAAATTGAAGCCCAGAGCTGAAACTCTGAATTCCAGCCTGACCCCATTAATTTTTATCTTTTTTTAATATTAGTTACCAAAGTTTTTAGGTCTTGTATTAAGAGAATCAGTAGTTGTATGACTCAATCAGTATCATTTATTGATGCACATTTCATTCCTTTAATCTTTGATGAGTTGATAGGGTAAAGTAGTAATTTTGCATTTTAAACAGTGATTTGTTAGAGTAGTCAGAATAGGCATTTTAAAATCTTAGCTTCCTTTTTAGTTTTTCATATTATATTTAAAATTATTGGAGCATTAAGTTTCAACAAGTTTTAAGAATTCTTCCATATAATGTTTATCATATTGAGAATTTTGAAGTTTAAGATTTAATAATGTAAAATAATTTTCTCTTAACAGGAAATTCAAGCATTGGAAGAATTTAGGGAAAAAAATCAGAGATTACAAAAATTATGGGTTGGAAGATTAATTCTTTATTCTTCAGTTCTCTATCTGTTTACATCCTTAATTGTATACTTGTGGTACCTTCCCGACGAACTCACAGCAAGACTTACCATGACATTCCCATTTTTTGCTTTTCCATTGGTGTAAGTATATGTTCTTTTACTTGACTTTTCTTCCTTTGATCAGATGGCTTTATTATGTGCAGTCTTTTTATTTTAAAATAGTAATGCCTGAGATTAAAAAAAAATAATTTTCTTTGTAGTTTGAAAAGTATTTCTTCAAAATAGTAGAACAGTTGTTTTGAGCCTGTGTTTATAATTCAACATATTTGAGAAATCATTCAGAGAGATTAGTGATGATTGGTCTGTATGACAATGTTTTGTGATTTTTAGATGGCCAAGATCCTCCGGGATCATTGTTCATGGAGTGGGGAGTAGTGGTAAAGAAGGGTTTGTAAAACTAACAGAACAAATGCCCAAATGATTCTAGATATTATTTCATGCATCGGAACTTTGACACTTGGTATAGAAGTACAATATAGCACCTTATAGGTGATGTTTTGATGAAGAATTTTGAGAGACAGTTGAATACAAAGTTTGTGTTTCCAGTTAACATTTTATATATAGATGTATATCAGTTGTGCAGACATTGGATTATGATGGTGTATGCTGCGCAAAATAAAATCTCTGACTGTAGTTGTTACACTGAATATATTATATTGTATAGTAGGCATGATGAATACCATGAAAAAAAAGATAGTGTTAGAGGAATGTATATCACAGGTTGCAACCAAGCCTGTGGGTGGAGATAGCAATGAGGGACTCACAGATTTAGTCACTTAGATAGTACCCCAGCCATTAAATTCTAGTTCTGCAGGTCAGAAGTTTAGGTGGTTTTGCTGAGGTCTCTGCTTAGAGTTTCATGGTCTGAATCAAGGAGTGAGTTTTTTTTTTTTTTAATTTATTTAAAAAGCTGAACTATAGAGAGGGGAGTAAAGGAGAGATGTTTCATCTACTGCTTAATTTCCCAAATGACAGCAAAAGTCAGACCTGTGCCATACTGAAGTCAGGAGTCAGGAACATCATATTAGTCTTGTGGATGGAAGGGACCTAATTAATTACATGGGCTGTTTTGCTTTTCAAAAACTTTCTGCTACATTTGCTTTTCAAATGTAGCAGAAAGTTGGATCCAAAGTAGAGCAGCAGGGACTGAAGCCCACACTCTGATAAGGGGCAGTGGAGTTGGAAGTGGCAATTTAATCTGTTGCAACACTCTGCTGACATCTTCTGTGGAGTTTTTGAGGGGAGAATCTGTTTCTAGGCTTCATTGGGTTGTTGACCAATTTCTGCTGCAAGTCTTGACATTTTCTTCTGCTCTTAGCTAGGAGATAGCTCTGCTTATAAGAACTTAAGTGAATTATATTTGATCCACCAGGATACTCTTCCTACCTTAAAATAAACCCGAGTAATGATTTTAATTACCTCGGCAGAGTGTCTTTACAGCAATAGCTAAATTAATATTTGATTGTAATCCAGAGGACGGAAATCATTGAAAGGATATGTTTAGAATTGTGCCTATCAAAAAATGAGAAGTTTTTATACCTGATTGATGAGTATGTGTGTGTAGGGTGGTGTGACATGGTGCTTTAGACAGAACAAAAAACTGCTTAAAAGGCCCCGGGGTAGGCTAGAGCATGATCTAGTTGAACAATGAAAAGAAGGCCAAAGACTCGACCATAGAGGAAAGTGCGTAGTTGTTAGAGGATATTTCATATATATATTTAGAAGCAGTTTGTAGCCACTGAGGCTATAGCTTTAGAGGAACAGGAAATTAAAAAATTGTAACTGTCTAGGAGACAACTGATGAGTGGTGAATTGTCCTTGAGTGCTGGGGTTGAAGAGAAGCAGATTGAATGAATTGAAATAGATGCACTGAAGAGATTTAGTAGATAAGTGGGGAGGCTTTTGGCAAGTAATGGGCATGTACTAAGGCGGAGAAATCAAGTATAAAATTCAAGTTTATGATTTGGGAAATTTGGCTAATGGCAGTGTATCCCAACTAAATAGGGAGCATGATGAGGAGGAACAAATTTGGTGACCCACCAAGACCAAGATACCTGGATACTTTTGAACTAGAGCTACCAAAAGATGGTAAAGTTTGAATATGAATGTCACAATGAAATCTGAATGGGAGATGTAGATTTAAAACTTAGTAGCTTGTGACTGATAATTGAAACCGCCTTCTCCTCAAACATTAAGTAGCAGGCATCTGTGATATATTAGTTGTTAGCTAGATTCTAGTAATACACAAAGTAGTGATAAAATGTCTGCCTTCAAGGAGCTTACATTCAGTTAGCATTTGAAAGACAAAAAATACAGATAGGAACAACAAAAAAACCTAATTGAGAGAGACTGATTGATTGATTGAAGTTCCATGGAGATGGATGATTTCAGAAGGCCCTTTTTGAAGAGTGGTTTCTGAGTTCACAACTGCAATATGAGGAAGAACCAGTGTGGAAAGAATTAGAATTTATGATAGACTACTTAGAGTGGCCTGTAGATCTATAGAGAGATATACAGGAGGATTGTCCTCAAAAATATTAGGAGTAATTCTTTCTAGGTAGCAGAATTTTAAGCAATTACTTCTTTCTGTATGCCTTTTTTGGTGTTTGGATTTTTTTGTGTGTGTGTGTCAATGAGTTCTTCATACTGTCAAATAAAAAATGCTATGGTTGAGGGAGTGTGTTTCTAAGAAAAGAGAACATGAAATACAAAGGTTGCTAATTAGGAGAGGATATGATTTACTTGAGAGCCACAAAGGTATATGCATGTGAAATGTATGATGAAGAAGAAGAATATTAGACGAGCTTAGAGGATCAGGAAGGATTCAGACCATGGAGGGTCAGATTTAGGAATTTGAATTTGAGAGAAATGGGTGGTTAGTAAAAGCTTAGTGGAAGAATGGTATGAGATCAAGTTAATAGTGTCTCATGCTGCGCTGTGCAGATTGAGAAAGAAGATAAAAGGAGTAGAAACAGGAGTTTTTACAAAAGCTTAATCTGAAAGTAACTGCTCAGTGACCTTGAGTGAATATAGATGATTTGGCAGTATTTCAGAATTTGATGGAAGGAAATGAGAGGTGAAGGAAAAAGGAACAACCAAGGATGATATTTGGTTTGGGATTTTGTGACAGAAGGCTCTTTTCCTTTGAGATTAGGATAGTAAGAGAGATTGTGTTTCTTTAGTTTTCAGTGCATGGTATTTTCAAGTTAAAACTCAGGAATTTTATACAAATTTGAACATCTGTTGTTCAAATCCGAGAGCTCAAATTGCATACTTATTATTAATTTCTTGGTTTTCCTTTTTTGTGAAATCTTTCAGGACACTTTTTATCCTAGTCCTTGTGGCAGAGTTTATAATGCTGATTCCTTTTCCCTTGTTTCCTTTCCATTTTTTCATAAAGAAAGGAGAAAAGAAGCTTAAAAAGGGAAAAATTGATAGGTTGACATTTTCATTTAAGAAAATTATTTCTTTGAAAGTCAGATTTGAGGAGACCGAGAGACACACACAGAGAGCTCTTCCATCCACTGGTTCACTTCTCAAATGGGCACAGTGACCAGGGCTGGAACAGGCAAGCCAAGTCTGGGAGCCAGGAACTTCTGGGTTTCCCATGTTAGTAGCCAGGATTGAGCGCTTGGACCATCTTCTGTTGCTTTCCAGGCCCTTGGCAAGGAGCTAGATAGGAGGTGGAGCAGCTGGAATTTGATCTACCCAGAAGGACTGCCAGTGTCCTAAGAGCCTAGCTGCGCCATTATGTTGGCCCTGAATTATGTTTTTAAAATATCTTCATATCTTCACGTCTTTTATATTCATTGATTCAACCAAATACCAATTGAAATATTAAAAATAAAACCTGTACCAATTTTATACCTTTTTTTCTGTGTCATTATTCCCAAAACAATAGAGTGTATCATTTTTTTATTACATTTCATTAAATATTATAAGTAATGTAGAGATGATTAGAAGTAAATGGGATGATGTACATAGGTTATATAGAAATATCGTACCATTGCTTCAGGGAGGTGGTGTTTGGGAGGGATCCTGGAACCAATCCTCTGTATATGAAGAGCTAGCTAAAAACCAAACAAAATGGCTCCAGGGCATTTAAAATATGGGACTTGATATTTTTGATTATAAATTATTTGAACCTAGTATATAATAGAGTGCTCATTTTTAAGGCTATCTACAAATTTCAGTGGATTAGATATATTTTATAGTGAAGATATATTTTATTTATTTGAAAAGCAGAATTACACACACACACACACACACACACACACACACACACACACACACACTCTCACACAGGCAGAGAGAAAGATATTTTCCGCCCATTGATTGACTCCCCAAATGACCATAATGTCCAGGGATGGGCCAAGCTGAAATTAAAACCAAGAGGCAGGAACCGTTTCCGAGTCTCCTTGTAAACACAACGGTCCCAGAACTTAGGTTCTCATCCATTGCTTTCCCACAGGCACTAACAGGGAGCTGGATAGAAAGTAGTGTAGCTAGGATTTGAACAGGTGTCCATTTAGGATGCAGGCAGCAACTAACACACTGTGCCACAACATCAGCACTATTATTTGTTTTTTAAAAGTGCGGAAGTTTTATTTCTTAAATACATGTTCTCTAGTTGAATCTTTTCATTGTTGAGCCTGTGGCTTTAGTAGCCTTGCTGTATCCCTCTGACTGTTCTGCATCTCCTGCATCTAGTATTTCTGGCTTGTTCAGCTTCAGAGCCACTTCTCACTGTTTCATTCACGTTTGTGACCCTGTTCTCAGTTTCTGTTTCAGTGAGCTCTTTGCTGTTGGGAATGTAGACTAGTTAGCCAACAAAGAATAGAATTGTGTTCTGGTTGATGACAATCAAAACGCATGAAATAAAATGCATTTATGTGAAAGTGAACTTTGTGGTGAATAGAGGACTCCCCATGGTAATTTTTCTTTTGTCTGTGTAACATGAGCTGTTACCCAAGCTTACCCTTGGGCTTTTTTCTTTTGAAATAGTTTTCAGTGTTGGACTAGGATTTACATCAAGGAATTGGAAGCAGAAGGAGTAGTTGTTTCACTTCTTACTGTTTTTT